CAGCCGGCGAGGTGGCCGCTGAGGATGCCGATTCCGGTCTTCCTCGCCACGGCCAGCGACACGATTTTTGCAACACTGATATATAAAATAGATATAGATTAGAATAGGAATAGTATTACACTATTTTATAATATTAGAATAGAATTTTAACGCATAATTATTGTAAGAAAGGGAAAGTAGAAATCAATATATTTTATTAGGAAGAGAGATTTTTTAGGAATTGGGCGGGAAGTTAAAATTTCAGGATTTTTTTTTATATATAGTATAGGATTGTATTACACTATTTTATAATATTAGAATAGAATTTTAACGCATAATTATTGTACGAAAGGGAAAGTAGAAATCAATATATTTTATTAGGAAGATAGATTTTTTAGGAATTGGGCGGGAAGTTAAAATTTCAGGATTTTGTTTTTATATATAGTATAGATTGTATTACACTATTTTATAATATTAGAATAGAATTTTAACGCATAATTATTGTACGAAAGGGAAAGTAGAAATCAATATATTTTATTAGGAAGAGAGATTTTTTAGGAATTGGGCGGGAAGTTAAAATTTCAGGATTTTGTTTTTATATATAGTATAGATTGTATTACACTATTTTATAATATTAGAATAGAATTTTAACGCATAATTATTGTACGAAAGGGAAAGTAGAAATCAATATATTTTATTAGGAAGAGAGATTTTTTAGGAATTGGGCGGGAAGTTAAAATTTCAGAATTTTGTTTTTATATATAGTATAGATTGTATTACACTATTTTATAATATTAGAATAGAATTTTAACGCATAATTATTGTACGAAAGGGAAAGTAGAAATCAATATATTTTATTAGGAAGAGAGATTTTTTAGTAATTGTGCGGGAAGTTAAAATTTCAGGATTTTGTTTTTATATATAATATAGATTGTATTACCCTATTTTATAATATTAGAATAGAATTTTAACGCATAATTATTGTACGAAAGGGAAAGTAGAAATCAATATATTTTATTAGGAAGAGAGATTTTTTAGGAATTGGGCGGGAAGTTAAAATTTCAGGATTTTGTTTTTATATATATAGTATAGATTGTATTACACTATTTTATAATATTAGAATAGAATTTTAACGCATAATTATTGTACGAAAGGGAAATTAGAAATCAATATATTTTATTAGGAAGAGAGATTTTTTAGGAATTGGGCGAGAAGTTAAAATTTCATAATTTTGTTTTTATATATAGTATAGATTAATCATCAATATAATGATTCAAAGGTCACACCTGGCCTCACATGGTATGTGTATGTAACGGCTCCATGCGTGGCATATTAAATGCAATTGCAAGTATAGAAAATTATATATGTATAGGTGGGTATTTTAAAGTTTTATTTATATTATAATCCTTCTAATATTCTGAGCATTATCAAATGCAATTAATCATCAAGATAAAGATTCAAAGGTCACACCTCTCATATATAGAAAATTGCACGTATAGAAAATTATGTATAGATATGTATTTTAAAGTCTTATTTATATTATAATCTTTCTAATATTCTGAGCGTTATCAAATGTAATTAATCATCAGGATAAGGATTCAAAGGTCACACCTCTCACGGTATGTGTTTGTAACGACTCATGCGTGAAATATTAAATCTTACTTAATGGTGCCTTGACACTCAAACACGACGTACTAAATGTTATTTAATGATATACCTTATACACATGTCATAGAAATAGAGTTTTTAAGTATGAATCGCGATAATGGACCAAATTTGCTGGATTATAAATATTTGTTAGATGTTAGCTAGATTAGGCAAAATTACGAGTAATATTCCATCAATAATTAAATAAATAAATATTTTATACATTAAAATGCCAAAGTGCATGAATCATGATTGAACCGGTGCATGCACTGTATACCTCAAATGGCAAGAATTAAAGGTCTCATAATACGATTATAGAATCTCAGAATTATTGAGGCAATTTGCATTGGTGAGCAAAGATTCTGCCAGAAATTCTGTTTTCTTTTTTACACAATAAAATGAATTCTACAAGAATTACGTTGACCACTATTTATTTCAACAAAAAGAAACCATACTTTCATAATTCATATAGAAATAGAATAATAAAATTTGAATCTAAACCTAACAAGAAATATATTCACCTTTACAGGGCGTTTGGTTGGAAGGAATTTAAATTTCCTTCTCACCTAATTTCAAATGCCATAAAATTTCTTAATTTGATTGGAAGAAATTGCAATTTTTCTATTTTCATGGAATTAAAATTTCATGTCCCCGAGATTTTAATTTTTGGGATTTTAGGAAGAAACAAGCTATTGATGAGACAAAATTACCCCTCATTTTGTAATCTAGAATTAATACCACAACAACAATGGGCATTTTGGACTTTATACTACTTATTCCCTTTCAATTATCATGTATACCAAACATTGAAATTGAAATTCCCAGTAATTATATTCCTGTAAACCAAACACTGGAATTTAAATTCACACTTTATTCCCACTAATTCATCTTCCATGAAATTGCAGTTTTTCCCACGTAATTCCCCCCTCTAATCAAACGCCATGTTAAAGTATGCTTCAGTGTAATAACATTCAACAAAAAGTGTTTGATGTCAGAATGCATTATGCTTAAAATCAATTATTGATAAGTAGGTAGATATTAATCATTTAATTACATTCGTAAATTACAACGTCACGTCTCGAATCAAGCATAAACTGAACTCGACCAGTCAAGTGGATGTCAACAAAAAAGAAATATATTTTTCGAGTTGAAAGTATAATTTGATGTGATTAACATACATATGATAAGAGATAAGATTAGAATTTACCTAGTCAAATCAGCACGGTTATAAAAGGTACTGAAATAATTGGTGCAAAATTATGCGTGCAGTCAAAATTATTTATTACTCCACGGTAGAAAATAGAATATAAAAAGGTGTTTGTTCAGTCCAGTATAGAAAGAAGGAGGGCAGTAACGTTTCAACTTTCATGGTTGCTCTGCAAAGCAACATCTCGCCGTCGTCCTCATCCTTCCGCTTCATGGGTCTTCTCAAACAACCCGACTCCGACCCGCTCGAGCTCGACGAGAGCGACGTCGTTTGGTCGTCGTCTTCCGCCGACTACTCCTCCGAAAACTTCGCCTACGCCGCCCCTTCTCCTCCGCCGCCGCCCGGCCTCCACCGTCCTCACACCAACTTCAAGCCGTCCACGTCCGGCCTCTCCGCAGCGCTCGCCGGAGACTGCGAGAATCTGGTGCGGCGCAAATCCACCCTCAACCCTTCCTTCTCCGCCGCCGCGGCCTCGGCGGCCAGAGTGATTCCGGCGGTGAATTCCCGTCCCAGCTCCCATGGCGTCGCGAAGTTCCACCAGTCAGCGCCCGTGAACGTGCCGGTGTGGCCGAAGAAGAAGAACACCGCCGGAGAACTGAAGCGGTGCGAGGAAGTGGAAGTGGAAGAGGAAGATGAGGTCGTCGAGGAGGAAGAGGAAATGGTGCCGCCGCACGTGATCGTGGCCAGGTCGCACGTGACGTTCTCCGTCTTCGAAGGCGTTGGACGGACGCTCAAAGGAAGAGACCTGCGGCGTGTTCGCAACGCCGTGTTTCAGAAAACAGGTTTCATTGATTGACACCATTAATGGAAAAGAATTCAGTCTTGTATTCTCCTCTCTGCTAGCTATTGAAGCTGTAATTATTTTCTGTACCTAAATAACTTTGAACAGTTAAAAATTCAGAAAAGTTAGCTAGCTAGTCTCTGGTAATCTGTTTGTGTAGTGATTAAATGGATTGAGATATGAGAATTCAAGTGCCAATTTTCTTGAATCTTTTGATTCTTTAACTTGTGCTCTCTTGAATGGTTGAATTCCTTAATTTTGTATATGAGAGTTTGAAGTTCTTGAACAGCTCAAGCTGATGAGCTCTTGATTGGCAGTGCTAGTTGAGGAAAATATGCTCAGTAGGTTTTAGGGATGTAATTCTTCATTTGTTTAGGGCAATGGATCCTTTAATCATTCATTTGTTTCAGGCAATTCAAACAAGTTTTCTGAGTTGCATATTCAAGATTTATACTGCAAATTAAATAGTAACATTGGCCTTTTAACTTGATTAGCAGTATACCTAGTTCCTTTTGGATTCGAGTTTCAATTGGACTCGAGAGAGCTCTTCCTTTTGGATTCGAGTTTCAATTGGACCCGAGAGAGCTCTTCCTTTTGGATTCGAGTTCCCAACAGAGCTCTTCCTTCTGGATTTGAAGTTTCAATTGGACCCGAGAGAGCTCTCCCGACACCTGCTAAGCAGACTAGACAGTAGACACTGGTATTTTCAGTCAGTAAGCTATAATCCAAATGCTTATTGGATGCAGTTCTTTACTCCATCTTGGTCTAATTTTAGTTCATATAGTTCAGGTCTTTACTGTGCTTACTAATTTGGGAAAAAACCCAAATCTTCTCTGTTAGTATTAGATGTAAAGTTTTTTGAGGATGGAAGTGAAGTTCTGTGTTCATAAAACATGTGAGTTAGTGAATGAGACACCTTAAAGTCTTATAGAAAGAAAGAATGAAAGGGGGGAAAAGCAATAGTTGTTGTTTTAGTGGTAAGAGCACTGCCAGGTGTGGACTGTGGGGATGGAAACTAAGGTGGATGATGACACTCCACCCCCTCCACAGCCCAGACAAAACATCATTTGTCTCTTCTTATTTTCATCGTCACTCTCTGGAACACATCGTTTTCATGTATAATGTCTTGGTCTGGTTGGATTTTTTTCAAACTGTGGAAACCTGTGGTGATTGCAAAATCATTTCTGTTGCTGAAAAGCTTTCGCAAACCACTACTTGACCAGTGGGCTCCAGCATGATGATTGCTTTCCATATTTGAAGGCGAGGATGAAAGATTCTTGCCCTCTTGCCTGATGAACGAGGCAACTAACCGTGCTTTCCACTGAGGTCACTTCTTTCTTATCTTATCATCTAATTCCTTTACTATATGCTTATCCCATTATACCACAACTTTTGATATTTCATTTGTATCAGATAAGTTTTTTTTCGTTTTCTTACTTTTTCATCAACAGGAAAACGGAAAAGGAAGAGTTGGGGAATGTTTCTTGTATTAGTTGCTGCATCAAAGTTAGGTACCTTTGCAGATTTTCTGTTCCTATTTACGCTATTACAAGCATATTGTAAAACTAGAAGGTATCTGTATATGACAGTCTGGAATAGTGATATTGTTGTCGAAATTGCAGAATCTGAGGTGGATTTTCAAGAGGTCTTTGTTGGGAAGAAGCTCATGCAGATTCCAGGCTTGATTTTGGCTAATGCAAGAATTGCTGATGGGAGAATCCATAATCCATCACCACATATCAGGCCTGATGCCACTGCAGGGACCATCAGATCGGCTTTCCTACCGTTAACCTTATGCCATACGTGCACGATCAAGGCTCCAACGCACATGTCAATGGCGAAGGAAGCCCCGACGAGGAAGGGAACCGCCATAGCCATTGGGAGAGGGACCCATTTCCCGACGCTCTCTGGGGCTACGTCTCTCGTCAGGTTGGCAGATACTGCAAAGGCGAAGAAGCCATAACAAAGCTGCAGGCAATGGCGGGGGAGAGCAGAGAAGCCTTCGACGCCTAGGATGGCCATGTTTCTGTATATGAGAGCATAAGGCGCCTTGTACTCCCCGTTCTGGTCCCCTACATCAAAGGCGGTGTAGAAGAGGAAGAACGTGAGAGGAGCCACCACGCAGCCAATTGCAGTCCCGACGCCCTGGCTAACGAGCATCGATCGAGGGGAAGTGAGCGTGAGGTGACCCGTCTTGAAATCGTGCATCAGATCAGAGGACGTCGAAACAATGGATTTTATGAGCCCACACCCGATAAGCCCAGCAACTACTCCATTCTCCTTCCCAGTTAAAGCAGCTAGTGTAAAGAGAGCCACTTTGCCATAATTATACGCCATGTTCATGTCAGTCAAACCAGCCCCGTATGCATTGCAGAAGCTCAAAGATGGCGCGAGAATGTAAGCAACAAGAACATAGTACCACCTCAACGCGGGGAACATGATTGGAATTACTACGATGGAGATAACCGAGAAGAATATGTACCCAACACACGCTACCCACAAGGGAATGCTGCCTCTAATGAACACTTCGTTTCTTTGTAGAGCATCAAGGGGCTCGTTCTCGCCTTCTGGAACTGCTATTATGGCAAACAGGTCAGTTACAGTAGCAAGTAAAGAACCGATTAAACTTGACAAAAGGGTGAAGAGATTTATACGAAGAATTTACTTGTTCTAGAATTCTTCTTGTTCAGGGCAGTGTATATGCTTCTACCAGTGAAAACGAGTATCTTGAGAAAATTGTAGAGACCATCCCCCAGAATCAGAGCAATCGAAACAAAAACCTGTGGGTTATGGCATGCATTAAGTAATAAGTAATAGCAGTTTGTTGAATTTGGAAGATGGAATGTCCTGGCACCGCCAGTTAGGTGGAAGCAATGATGAAGAATCAAAGAATAGAAAATGTATATAAGACTGAAATATATTAGTATTATCTGTGTTTCTAATAAAGAAACATAGTACATATATATATATATATATATATATATATATACAAACACATAACTGTAAGTAACTACCCATAACTGACACTTATTCATAAACAGACACAACCATATACATAAACCTCTAACTCTTTATTTTTCAACACAGTTCACCGAAGGAATTGAAGTATGAAAGTTGAACTACACACCTTGTAACCAGTCAGACTCCTCATGCTGCTTTCGGGTAAAGTTGCAGGGAACCAAGATCCTTTGCGCTCGAGAATCAAGGGCCACATTATCCCCCAAGACAGAACAGCTCCGAGAAGCAAAGACAAATTTACGAGGTGGGAACAAATCATTCCTGCACCTATGTAGGTCATGCTGAAATCGAAGTAAAATCTGCAGAATTCGAATTGTTCAAGGAAGTCAAGATTGAAGCAGATATAGTTACACAACTGATTCATTCTTGTGAAGACGAGAGAACCAGTACATACGATTGCTTCCAAGCTTTCAACCCGAACACTGGGAAGTTTGCAAATCCACACTGGTCTCCCCCAGAGTAAAACCACTGAAAGAAACTCCACAGGAAACTGATCGAGAAGAATTTCACGAACCCATGAACTTGTTTCCTGTAATTGACAGTGTTCGTTTTTATGTTTCAAAACTAGATTCATTTCCATAAAACGACGTTTTCAATAACTTTTATACTTGGCCATCTTATCTCCCTTTGGGGTATGGAACCCATTGATTAGAACAGCAGTTGCAGTTCCACTTGGATAAGGTAGTTTCTTATCTATTATCATGATCTATGCCATACAACAATAAAAAAACATTGAAACAACATTAGCAAAAGTCAAGTAATACATGCTGACATTTAGGCAGAAAACACACACACCTTTCTGAGAGGAACCAAGGCTAATAACCCAACAAAACTAACAACAAAAAGGAAACCAATCATCCAACCAAGTTCAGGTTCCTTGTAACTCCCAGGTACATTTCCTTCTGTATCAATCCCAGCCTGCTCATATGTCTTCTTGTTCAATGCCAGAAGATAAGATCCAAAACCGCCTTAAACAATACTTTAGTTTAATTAAAAACCAATAAGAATTAAACAAAACCCGTCACTAAGAACAGGTGAAAGACGAAAACTTTCTAACCTCCCACAGCAATGCTGTAGCACGCAACTGCACACGTCTGAATAACCGTGTTCTCCTGTCTGGTGAAAGGAGTTGAGACAATATTGGCCTTTTGCAGAGCCTTAGTCCATGTCTGTATGCATACATATGCAAGAAGGGCAGCTGAGACATTGAGATTTGGGACCAGTCCAGTAGTGAGATTGAGCTTCATCACCACCACACTATAAATGCTTCCAATCAATAAGCTCGCGACAATCCCCCGAATGGTTATCTGTTTTGTCCATGGAAGAATACTCTTCACATCCCATGGCTGTTCTGTCACCTGTTCCAAGTCCTCCCCTTGAATCTCCCCTCCTCCTTCCTTGCTTGTGCTCCTCATTCTAGTGATCATAACATGTAAAGATAAAAACTTGTAAAGCTTGGTCAAACTGTTGGTTTAATAACCACAAGATTCCAAGTGCGACTCTCAGTGGAGACAACCTATTTACCTTCTTGATTTGAGTCGTTATAGGCAACTTGTGCTGGTTTACCTATTTGACGGCCAGGCTTATAAGGCGGGATTTACCCAGCGCACACCCTTGGTAGGTGCGGGTTTCAAGTTCGACTCTCAGTAGGAACAACCTATTGACTTTCTTGATTTGAGTCGTTATAGGCAACCTGTGCTAGTTTACCTATTTGACGGCTAGGATTATAAGGCAGGATTTACCCAGTGCGCATCCTTAGTAGGTGCGGGTTTCCCTCGTTACCCAACATGTAAAGATAAAAACTTATACATATGCAAATGCTAAATAACATGTAACATCATGAATCTTACCTGAGAAAAAACTGCAGATTTAGTTAAAGAACAGATAGCTAGCTCCTCTGGTGTGTTGAAGAGTCTCAGCTAACAAATGTGAAACAGGTAGAATTTTATCATTTGACAATATGGTAGTGATAACTGATGATGATTGGAGAAATGGGTAACCAATATCACCATCAAAGACACATTAAAGAAGCATAAAACACCATAAATACCCAACCAAATTTCATCCAGACACAAACTAAAAAAATCTCACAGAGATATTTCCAAATTTCAACAGAGAAGAAGCAGCAGGTTATTGCAGAAAAAAGCCCAATTTTAAAGGATGAAACCATATCTTACTAACCAATAGGGAGTTCTTCAGGTGAAATGAAGTCAAAAGACTCCAAAATTTCCAAACAAAAAGGAACTTTTAGACCAAAAACTTGCTTATAAGAATCTTTCACAGCTGGTGGAAAAGAAATGTTTTTTATCATTCTCCTCCTTCACCCATTTTTCTCTTCTGAATTCCCATTCAAAAAGTGTAAAAAGAACAAACTTTCCTGCTCCTTGTTCAAACATGGCGTTTCTTTCAGGTAATGATCGGATAGATAGATAGATAGGCTTACAGGAAGAGCATTTTGGCATCCGGTGGGTCCAAAAATAGTTATTGTCTTATACACAAAAATTAACAGTTTAAACTTTAAATTAGTATAAATTAGTGGCCGGAGATCACCGTGACGTCGTGGCCACCAAATTAAAGCTCTAGGTAATTATTAATTAATAGTATAAGATGAAACAAGGAACTGTTAATTGCTCAATTAGTAATAAATTATCATAGATGATTTAGGAGATTATTATCATAGATGTCTTTTACAATGTTTCATTGTCATTCAGAAAGAAAAGAAAATATAAAATGATGGGGACCAATGACACTCAACCATGACCTATTACAAGGTATTTTATAAATGTAAGGGCTTAGAACACTGTAGAGTTGCAACTAATCCATGTTGGAAGTGTTTAGGATTGGGAGGTATATTAAGGCTTGTGGTGTCCAAATCCTCTCTATGGTGTTGGAAGTTGGCTTAGAGCCATCACAATAATAGTTTGTGCTTAATTATTTAGGATAACATAATTTATGTGGAGGAAAGAGAAGATTTGAACCGGCCAGTAAAAAGTTGTTTTTTTGTGAATCCCACAAAAGAGACAAAGTGAAAAAGAGAAGTGTAGTCGGATGTGTTAACTCTTTTTTTTTTTTTGCTTTTTATTTTTATCTCTCTTTTTTCCTTCTTCTTTCTCCTTCCTCTCTTCGTAATGGGCACCTTAAAACACTCCCCCCCCCCCCCTCCCCCCCACCCAAAAAAAAAAAAAAAAAAAAAACTCCTATTGCGATTGCCCTTAATGGCCTGATAGGTTAATTATGACATACATTGGTATTGAGGTAATCATAAGAGCATTCATAATAGTAGAGATATTTTGTGATTTTGAGAAATTTTTGTAAGTGTAATTAGGAAAGAGAATAAGGGAGGGGAGAGGAAAATGAAAAAAAAAAACTTATTTTAAAATTATATATATATATATATATATATATATATATATATATATATATATATATATATATATATATATATATATATATATAAATATAAAGGGACTCTCAGGCTCGCCTAACGCGCTATCGGGCGCGTGCAGTAATTTCTACTGAAACGCGCACAGCAGTCTAAGCTCCTCTTATATTTCTTTTTCCTTAAGAAGAGAAATATCTCAATGCTTGCAGGGAGAGCTGCTTCTCTCTCTCTCTCTTGCCTTCTCTCTTCCATATAAACAAACATAACTCAAAAATCGTGAATAAACTCTTAATAATCCTATGATTTTAATGCTCTAAGTGATGATGGCTAAATAGATGCCATGGTATACTAGCTAGGTAAGTTGATTTTCCAACTTTAGAGATTAAGAAGTGCCTAAAAAAGGTTAATAGAGGTAGGTGTGAGCTTCCAACTTGATTAGGGTTTCTTAGACCAGCTTGATTTAAATAAAAATAATAATAAATTGCTCTGTATAGAGTATGTAACTTGTAATCTTATAGTTATTGATTCAATAATTTGACCAACTTAATTGGAGTTGTCTCTTTCATTAATTTTTTAACATATATGTCCTGTTTGGTAACATAGTTAGCTTATCAGCCAATTTTGATTTATTTGATAATTATTAACTTTTCGACTTGGTTAAATAATCAATATGAGTGTTTGATTAATTAACTTTTTGTAACAATTTATTGTTTTAAAATGCTAAAATTTAAAATGCTGCTCAAAATAACTTTTTGAGAAATTTATTTTGCATGTAATCAACTATCATCTAATCGTTAATTTACTAAACACTTTTCTACCATCAGTTAATGCTATCAGCTAGTCAAACTCACTAACCAATAAGCTAACAGCTATTTACCAAACACCTCCCATAATCTTATGATTACCAACTCAACAATCTAATGTTGTTGGCAGATATAGATTTGTATAATTTGCTCTATTTTTACTTTCTACGTAAAAATTTAAAAGAAAAAAATAAATAAAAACCAAAGAAATTATCCGTGTTTGAACTTTTGAAGGTTCGATGAGATAAGCAGTGCAGTGGGTCCAGGTCCTCCAGGAGCTTTGGTAACCAATGAGTGGGCCCCGCTCCCCACGATTTGTGTACCCGCCAGATCCAAAATCTTGATCGGAGTAATGAAAGTGAATCTCAATGCATTAACACCGGAGGAAATGAAACAATCGGAGTACGCCACGTGTCACATTTCATTCCCCCGCTAAATACGCAGGCGTTCCGTTTCCAGCATGTATTTCGTACCTCAGAACTCATACGTACAACGCCTAAGCTGGCTTCTCTGTTCTCACACACTAGGCGGTGTAGCGTGTGCTCTCGTCGTATCTCCGGCTGATCTATCGCCTCACTGACGGAGAGTAGCGGCGTCTTCCACCGGGAAGATCGAGGATGGAGATTTTCTATTACATGGTGTTCGGCTGCTTAGCGGCGGTCGTGGCCATTCTGGAGCTCAGCAAGTCGAGCAAAGATCGTATCAATACTTCTCCGCTATTCAATGCTTTTAAGAACAATTATCTCGTCGTTTACTCGCTTATGATGGGTATGCATGATGCCTTACACCTACTTCTCGTTATTATTACCGTCATTGCTGTACCTTAAGATCGGCGCTTTGATTTGCTCTCCATGTCTGCATTATTGATCCACTTGTGACTTATCGTCAGTAATCTCTAAAAGTATACGCGATTTGTTTATGTGAGTTTGTTGATATGATCTACTGTCTATGTGTGTATTTGTTGTGATGCGATGAAATTATATATGGTGGATCGGTGTGTTTAGAGAACGTGCTTTGGTGGAAGGACCGTAAATCCAGATAACGTGTTTTCATTTATCCATCTAATTCATTTATTTACAATTAGGATGAAGTGAATGAAACCTTTCTCAGTAATGTGTGTGTTCAGAAAATGAGAGTGATGAATTGAGGATTAGGCATCAGTTGATTGATGGTTTGTGATGTTCCCTTGAACTCACTAACTAGAGTGCACTGCTAAAAAGTGTGGTATGGATCACAACACAATGGTTTGGTTTGAATGATACACACATTCTTCTGTTCATCATTGGCTATTTCATCTGCATTATGTGGTTGCTATTATAATTCCATGGTCATATGCTTTGACTGATGATAATGCTATCAGATTTTTGGTGAAAAGATGACTGAACTTTACTGCCTTAATATAGTTTTACACCAGTAGCTACAACCTCCGACCATTTGCTACAGATAAATTAATTAAATTAATTTCTAAATTATTAATCTTTATTTTTTCTAACTTAAAAGTCTTTTATGGCAATAGCCGGTGATTGGTTGCAGGGTCCATATGTGTACTACCTTTACACCACATATGGCTATGGAAAGGGAGAGATTGGACAACTATTTATTGCTGGATTTGGGTCTAGCATGTTGTTTGGCACAATAGTTGGATCTCTTGCTGACAAACAGTGAGATGCCCTTCTTCAAGTTATGTTCTAAACTCTCTCAGAAAGGGAATTCAACTAATGTTTTCTCCTCACTTTTCAGGGGTCGAAAGAGAGCATGCCTGACTTACTGCATTACTTACATTTTGAGCTGCATAACCAAGCATTCACCACAGTACAAAGTCTTGATGTTGGGACGTGTCTTGGGTGGTATTGCCACTTCTCTCCTCTTCTCAGCATTTGAGTCATGGCTTGTAGCAGAACATTTCAAGGTGAGGGGTACTTGAATATAGTGTGTAATCAGGTGAAAAGGAATTTATGCTAAGTTGGTCTGTAGTTATGTGCTTATACATTATTAGTCACTGGATGGATATTCTATGATGTCCTATTAACTCTCTTACCCAAGGGGTGATCTCTAGTGAATTGGAGGAAGCCTACTTTGAGGAGCCTCCTAGAATAAGCTACCATCTAGACTATTCTATAGTTGAGAATTACTTGTAACTTTTTGTGGGAGTCCATTCTATGGTTATCTACTTATCACCAACCACAATTTGGTTAATGTTATGGAAGCTTATATGTGTATTATTGCCGTAATACTTTTGTTTGAATTTGTTGGCAGAGGGGTTTTGATCAGCAATGGCTTTCATTGACTTTCTCCAAGGCAATATTTCTTGGAAATGGTCTTGTTGCCATTCTTTCTGGATTGTTTGGAAATTATCTGGTTGACACATTAAACCTTGGGCCCGTGTCACCCTTTGATGCTGCTTCTTGCTTTCTCACCATTGGAATGGTTATCATATTTTTAACGTGGACTGAGAATTATGGAGATGCTACAGAAAACAAGGACTTACTGACTCAGTTCAAAAATGCAGCCGCAGCCATTGCTTCAGGTAGGTTTACAGATACTGATTGGTTGAACGACTATTATTTTATTTTGTTTCATGGTTGAACAACTATACTGCTTACGCTATTTCTGTAGTTCTGTATTCACTTCACTCTTAAATGTATGCTTTGTATGGATCAGATGAGAAGATTGCATTACTGGGTGCTATACAGTCCCTGTTTGAAGGTTCAATGTATACCTTTGTGTTTCTCTGGACTCCTGCTCTTAGTCCAAATGATGAAGAAATCCCTCACGGCTTTATCTTCGCAACTTTTATGTTGGCATCAATGTTGGGAAGCTCATTTGCATCTCGCCTTATGACCCGCAACTCACTTAAGGTTGAGGTCTATATGCAGGTTGTATTTATTATTGCCTCTGCATCCCTCCTCCTACCAATCGTGACAAGTGTAAGTATCAAAACAATTGTTTTAATTGCATCAAAACCATTTGCATGTTCTAATCTTCTATTTGCAACAGTTCCTCATACCTCCATCAACTGTGAAAGGAGGTGGCATATCATTTGCTGGTTGTATCCTGCTTCTTGGCTTTGCCGCATTTGAGGCGTGTGTGGGGATATTCTGGCCATCCATTATGAAGATGAGATCCCAATACATTCCAGAGGAAGCAAGGAGCACCATTATGAATTTCTTCAGGATTCCTCTAAACATCTTCGTCTGCATTGTCCTCTACAATGTAAGTTATTGGGTCTCATATTGATGGCTTGTTAGTTGTTCTTGTTTCAGGTCATGTTGGTATACACACGTGTTTGAAGATATATTGTGCACTTGAAACTTGGATTACATGTTACTTCCTAAAGATAACTAAACTAATCATTACATCTGACTATTTTCTTAATATCCATTTCAAGGTTGGTGCGTTCCCCATCACAGTTATGTTTGGTATGTGCTCAATCTTCTTGTTTGTGGCATCGATTTTGCAGAGACGTCTCGCAGTCATTTCTGACAAGCCAAGTGCGTACCTTTGTTATATTTTCTGCTTTTTTTTTTTTTTTAATCTCACATTATAGACCTTTCTGATCTGTTAAGGCAGTGGCATTATCGTATTCTTCTTCTCCTGGCCAAGTAAGTGGTTGCTCAATTTTGTTGATTGCAGGGATAGAAAATTGGACAGCATTGAGAGAAAGGGATTCTGAGGCTGATCCTCTCAACGTTCCTTGATACAAAAAAAACTATGGGAAAATGGGTAACAACGTTCTGACCTTGGGCTTGGTTGAAAGTGCAATTATCCAATATTGACACTACCAAACATTCCCTAGTTGGAAGTGGGCAGGAACAAAGAAGTTGCTGCTAATTCGATTTTCTGTTGCGATTTATACCAGAAGAACACATCGGCATCCATCTATTCATTTCTTTAGCTATTATTCCCCTTTTCATAATTCTTTGCTTTTGTTATGTTGCCGCTCCTGGTCTCTGGCTAAGTCTATAATTTTGTACGGTGTTTTACTTACCCTCCCATTTTTTAATCATTTTATCACAACAAATGTACGGAATATTAGTTACTGAACATTCTATCATTCTTTACATTATCACAAATTCTCCCTTGCCATGCTGCTAAGTGATAAGGCATTTAATAAGTAAAAGAGAACATTGTACAGTTTTTTCCACATCCCAACATCACCTACATGGCTACATGTCAAGGAGAGTCTAAACATACCTATATCTAGCTATCCTAAATTGCAGGAAAGCCAAAATCGATGAATAATGCACATCTTTGTGTTGCACAACAAATATAAAGCACATCTCCCGTGCTGTGCAAAGAACATCTCCTCCCTATTTTGTAGAGATAACACACACACTATGTAGTCCAGTAATCTAATGGGGCTTTTAAAAGAGAAAAAGTTTGGGTAAATTACATCCCATCTATGATTGTCCAGTCGGTGCAGACATGTCCTATGTAAAAATACATTTAAGCAATACAAAAGAATACATTGATTGCTCCTCTATTACCTTTCCACCCCTAGCATAAAAGTATACACATATTTCGTTCCTTCTACACAGACCTCCATAAAGAAAAAACCTGTTCAGGAAAATGTTCCTCTATTGAATTCCAAGAATGGGAAGAAGACAAAAATGAAAGAACAAACTCAAAGGTTTTTCATTAACCATCAACTGGAAGCAACGACAATGAGGACTGCATCAAGCTTCCCAGTTTACCCTTCAAACTGGATAAAGTGCTCACTAACAATTCAGAACAATGTGTGTTATCCCAAGAGGACTCAATGCCTGGAAGAATTTGGATCTGTGATTCCAAATACTTTCTAAGACTAGCCCCTGCAATGTTAAGTAAACTTACTGAAGCATTTGTGTGCATGAATTTAGTGACTAGAAGTCCTGCTAGGATCTGCTGCTCTGCACTCACAAGCTCTGATATAAAACATGGAAGCACAAGTTTTGTAAAAACAAGCATGTCTTTTATGTTGTCACCTTCAACAGACCCTCCACTTGCAATCTTAGATGACTGGGACTCCTGGCACTGACGTGAGAGGTTCCCCACCATATAGCAAATGCATGAGAAAACTGTGCCATAAGAAGAATTGGTGATGATAGTTGAGATGACTCCCGATGATAAAACAAGAACTAAAAACTGATGGTCCCTTCTGATTTTATCAGATATGCCTTCATGTTTCAACTTGTGCTCAACCACATCCAAGCACTGCAACTGCACTGCTTTGTAAGGAAATAGAAGCATCAGTTTGAGTGATAGAAAGTAGTCTATGTCAAGTGCAATTTGGCTCAAACTACGAGCACCATCCTCATCTATCAATACTTCATTACTCTTTGCATTGGATTGGTCAATCAATTTCAACATATCCTGGAACTGAGACAGCATTAGTAGTTTTTTGAAGATCTCCATCCAACACACATGCAGGGGATGAATAGAGAAAGAAGCATCATCATCTTTCTTTGGTTCTGGCTGAACAAGATCCTCCTGAAAGCTTTCCCATCCCTCATCCCAGTCATCATTTCCCCAACTATTTCCACCATCAGATACATCACCCGAGTCTGCTTCCACCTTTCCACCAGAGAAGAGACCCTCCCACTCTCTCAAAATATCTAGCAAAGTGTGAACATGGGATATGGATACAGCAGATGAACAAATTTTAACGAAGCATGACACAGCTGCTTCAACAGTCAGAAGATCTTCTGGTGTAACCTCAATGCTTGGTGAGATAGCCGATACCAACTGTGTAGACCTGAGTGCAACCAAAGTGTTCGTGAGACTGCTAGATGCATCTGCTCTGTTTGGAATCCCATCATCGACTGGCTTCTTGCTACTTGCATTTGCACTTTGCATATTCTCCCAGCCTTCCCAAGGAAGAACACTGGCCTGAAACTCAGAAGAAAACCCTTTCATATGTCTAGTAGAGGCTGCAACGAATTGCATGAGTTCCAAAATGTAAACTCGAACATGGCTTGGAAGCTCTATGTTGTCTGAAAATTCAGCCATTCTGTCCCATACTGCCTGCCTTATGCTCTTTAGGGTCACTAAATCACCTTCCAGTCTGCTCAAAGATGACAAAAAGTGATGTAGGCACTGATACTCAAGGGATTGGCTAGCCAACTCTTGTAACATGGTATTCAAGATAATTAGATAGAGCTGTTGAAGATCCTGTGTACCAGTAAAACCTTTGTGCGCATTTGTGATCAATGTTCTTTCACATAGGTTCTGTGTTATTGCCTCAGCAAATACATCTGAAATGGCTTCAAACCCACAGCCAGAGAGTATCATAGCTCTGCAGAAATTATAGATCTCTTCAGCAACATCAGATACAAGACCATAGCTAAGAAGACATAAAACTGTAACCCAACCCTGACTTGGTGAGATTTTTTCTTGGACAACAAGGCTCCGAAAAGTTTTAAGGCATATCACTAGACATTCTGAAACAAACTTCTCAGATGAAGTTTCAAGGAATGCAATTTCCAGCATATCATTCAGAATTCTCAGCCAGATATCCACAAACATGACAAGGCATACCTGCCAGCCTGGATTGCAAAACTCAGGCTTCAAACATTTCACAGCAGGCACTATCACAGTCAAGAATCGCCTTGTTATGTCAATAAAAGAAGGGGTGGAAATGAATTTGAGATACTTTCTGCAAATATCATAGGTCTGCTCAAGCTCAGTCAGAAAGTCATGTATATTTTCAGAGCTTTCAAGATCAGTTTCTGATTTCCCTTTAGTCTCCAAAGCTGTCAGCAAACCCAGTATATGGTGTCCATAGACATCCTGCCATGACAAGAAGCCATCAGGCACTGGATCTTCACAAACATCAAGAAGGTTCTGAACCATCTTGGCCAAAAGATCAACATTATTTTCATTTATGTGTGCACAGACTTCAGTATTGAAGCAATCTAAATTCAAACCTTGCATTCCAGCAATGTTTTTAAAATTTAAGCCCATAATAGAAGACACTCTATTGCATTCTTGTTCAGCAACCTTGTAAAAGCGAGCAAACCAAGTAGAAGTTCTACACACAAAATCTTGCTCCATAATGGGTGGTAGTTCTTTTAGTTCTGTGAACCGTGAGTAGCAGTCAGAGAGTATGCTATACATAAGAGCAAGCCGATCCTTGTCATACCCATTAAGTGAAGGGTAGATAGACCACGAAAAACATTTAACAGTTTCCACAGCACAACCACACAGATCTCCTTTAAATTCTGACACTTCAGCAATTATATCATGAACGCTCCAAGCCTCAGAAAGAAATATGGACTTCAGGTAATGCAGGATCAACTGTAACAGGAGCAAGGCAAAGAAAACAACAGTTAGAGGTTTACTAGTCTTTCTAACATTCAAATTCTAGTGTACAGCATCCAGGGTATGGGAAAACATGCATACCTTGCATCGATCTAAGCCATAGGTGTGTGCCAAATTTGATACATCCTTGAAAATATGTTTCTTCTCCAGTTTTACAGACTCAATTAGTGATAGAATGGCACTCTCCTTGTAGCCTGTGTCTCCAGACAAAAAGCGTGTGGCTTCAACACCAGGAATTATTTGTTCCAAAACCCTTGAATGGTCTGCCAAACGCTTCTGTTCTTCTAATTTCAGTTTCCATGCTTTCCAGAATGTGGATTGTGCTTTGTCTATTCTGTCTCTTTCATCTGAATTCAAAATAATAATAATAATAATAATAATAATAATAATATTAATAATAATAATAATAATAATAATTTTAAAAAATATAAAAAAATACAAACAAAAGAAAAAAAAAAAAGATGTCTGAAGCAACAGAAAACAGAATATTGTACAAAAGAAGGTTGCAGAACTCCTCCAACTTGGAAAATTAAACTGCAGTAGAGAATGCAACAATGCTATTTAGATCATGAGCTTGCCAAATAAAAAAAAATCACCTGACTTGATTGGTTTATTTTTCTGTTGGAAATTCCTTAGAATCAGCTCTCTCCTTTGAGCAGGTTCGTCAGACTTGGCTCCACTGTTGTTTACTAGACCATAAATCATCCCAACATTCATAATGCTAGTTCTTTCACTATAATTCTCCCTAGTTCTCAAGTTTTCTTCAATTATCCCCACTCCATTTAAGGAGTCAACAAGATTTAACAAATAGGAGCACCCTATGATGTCTTCCTCTTCAGTTACAGGAGGTTCCATAATTGACTTAGCTAAAGATGCAACCAAAGTATCCTTTGGAGCAAAACCATTCCTTGCCAACCAGGACAAAATAGCAACTATTGCTTGTGTCCTTACACTGATATATTGCTTCCCAGAAACAGAGCCTGATAGGAATTTCTTACCACTTCCAGCAACTTGACTTAGTTCAAGCAACCAAGGAAGCTGCATAGCAGCAAAGGATAATATTTTTCCATTGTCTCTAAGGATTGATTCAAGACCAACATCACCCTCTAGATGTAAATCTTTTGCCACCTGAACAAGGAAATCTTTTATGTGGTTCAGTTGTGCATCCTGACCAAATAAACTGATATCCTCAACTCTATTGCCACCATGAAGAGGATAGGAAGAATCCTGAACTGAGATTGGTTGAGGCTCTTTTCCTGTCATTATTATTAAAGATTCACACTGGCCTTGAATATCAAGATCCTTCCATCCATGTAGTAGCTCACCAATCGATTCTCCATCACAGTGACTCAAAGCAAAACCTAACAGTCGTTTTCGAGAACTAATATCCATATTATCTAGAGCAGGACCTCTTGCCAGTGCTGCACATAAATCCCATGCAGAGCCATGCCCCTTTTTGGCCAAAATAAGACAAAGATCAAAAGCCAATTGAAGATCCCCAACAACTGCAGCTTCTCTTGCAATAGCTTCTTGCACAGCTGATATGTCATCCTGGGAACTCAGCCCAAGAAGTTTGGCTATATCAATAATTTCATCAACATTCAGATAAGCTCCACTATGACTTGTAATTGCCAACTTGATGATTTCCATTGGATCTTTGATTTGCTTGAATTGCATTGGCAAGAGGTTCACTCCAAGACTTGGAAGTTTAACAGTAACAGCATCGATGATATCAGCCTCAGCAATCACACTTCTATTGTTTGGAAAGATGTTAAGACATTCCTTAGCCTTCCAGATCTGCATGTTTCAACACTTCATCAAAAATTTGGCATTGCACAAGCTATATATTTTTACAACATATAAGCCATAATAAGTTAATAGTTCATGTTACGAAAGTGAAGAGAGAGAGTTTCTAATGTGCCGTCATATATTATATCAAACTCTCATAGGAATAGAAAATACAAAGCCCTATAAATAGGTACTAGAAAATTACGAATAGGAAACAAGTTTCCATATGTCCTACCTACCTAAAACCCTAAACTGCCTAATATATAGAGATTCTATATATCAAATATATATTCCTTAACACTCCCCCTCAAGTTGGAGCATATATTTTAATAATGCCCAACTTGTTACACAAATGAGTGATAACCCAAAATAACTAAATAACTAATAACTCAAGTCCATTTAGGACACTCCTTTGACCGAAGACCGAACAAGCTTGAGATTGGATACTCATACTCCCCCTCCAACGAAAGCTTCGAACGCCACGAATCCCACGAACAATGGGTGAACACAAAGTGACCGAACAAGCTTGAAATTGGATACTCCCCCTGAAACGAAAGCTGTGAACGCCACCAATACCTACGGACAGTTGGGTGAACTCAACGTGGTGGACCGAACAAGCTTAGGATTGAACCCTCCCCTGAACCAGAAGCTTGGACTCCGCCAATACCGCAACTCCGGGTGAACCAAAAGTGGACCGAACAAGCTAAGGACACACAAAGTAAAGAAGACAAACTCCAAACTGGAGGACACAAATTCTTTACTAGGTATTGGTGGCGTTCACAGCTTTCGTAACAGGCGGACAAGCATACCGCTGTGCCTGTGCTGCTGATCGGACTGGACATGCTTTGTTGCATACTCTCTATGGGCAGGCTATGAAACATAATACGCAGTTCTTTGTGGAATATTTTGCTTTGGATTTACTAATGGATAAAGATGGAAGCTGCCAAGGTGTAATTGCTCTAAATATGGAGGATGGTACTTTACATCGCTTCCGTGCTGCTTCTACAATTTTGGCCACAGGGGGATATGGCAGAACGTATTTCTCTGCAACCTCAGCTCATACTTGCACAGGAGATGGGAATGCTATGGTTGCACGTGCTGGGCTTCCTCTCCAGGACCTTGAGTTTGTGCAATTCCATCCAACTGGTATATATGGAGCTGGTTGTCTAATTACTGAAGGGTCTCGTGGTGAAGGTGGGATTCTCAGGAATAGTGAAGGTGAGCGATTTATGGAACGGTATGCACCAACAACCAAGGATCTTGCATCTAGGGATGTTGTTTCAAGGTCTATGACAATGGAAATTCGAGAAGGGCGTGGTGTCGGACCACTAAAGGACCATATCTATCTCCACTTGAACCATTTACCTCCGGAAGTCCTTAAAGAAAGGCTTCCTGGTATCTCTGAAACTGCTGCCATTTTTGCTGGTGTAGATGTCACAAAGGAGCCAATTCCTGTTTTACCTACTGTGCATTATAATATGGGTGGGATTCCAACAAATCACCATGGAGAGGTGGTGACTGTCAAAGGTAATGATCCTGATGCTGTAGTTCCTGGACTAATGGCTGCTGGAGAAGCTGCCTGTGCATCAGTTCATGGTGCTAACAGGCTCGGAGCAAATTCTCTTCTTGACATTGTTGTTTTTGGTCGGGCATGTGCAAACCGGGTTGCAGAAATCCAAAGGCCAGGAGAGAAACAGAAACCTTTGGAGAAGGATGCTGGAAAGAAGACTATTGCATGGTTGGACAAGCTTGAAATTGGATACTCCCCCTGAAACGAAAGCTGTGAACGCCACCAATACCTACGGACAGTTGGGTGAACTCAATGTGGTGGACCGAACAAGCTTAGGATTGAACCCTCCCCTGAACCAGAAGCTTGGACTCCGCCAATACTGCAACTCCGGGTGAACCAAAAGTGGACCGAACAAGCTAAGGACACACAAAGTAAAGAAGACAAACTCCAAACTGGAGGACACAAATTCTTTACTAGCAAAAGGGAAGTATCTTGACTAACAAAAGGGAAGCATGCTCCAATCAACGAGCATAAAAAAAGGAGACAACACCAAAACGAAGGAGAGATAACACCAAACCGAGGCAGCACCAAAACAAGATGGACCAAAACAAGACAACACCAAAACACAAAACGAGACAGCACTAAAACACAAAACAAGACAGCACCAAAACGAGACAAACTGACCGTAGAACAAAAGTCAATGGTCCAAACTAAGTCCAGAACCAAGACAAACAGACTTAGGCGACCCAGGAACAAGTTGACCAAAACATTTTTCAATCGTTGAAGGAGCCTCAAGCGCCGGCGGCACGTGAGGCTCACGCGCTAGTCAAAACGTGACGACAACGAAGCGGAAAAAAAAATTATCGTAAAGGCTCAGATACCATGTTACGAAAGTGAAGAGAGAGAGTTTCTAATGTGCCGTCATATATTATATCAAACTCTCATAGGAATAGAAAATACAAAGCCCTATAAATAGGTACTAGAAAATTACGAATAGGAAACAAGTTTCCATATGTCCTACCTACCTAAAACCCTAAACTGCCTAATATATAGAGATTCTATATATCAAATATATATTCCTTAACAGTTCACAATGACGTTTCTTCATAAAATGACTATAACAGGGTCATGCACAAAAAGAATTCCCAGGACCAAATCTCTTAACTTTGTTAGAGGAAAAAGGAATTCTATTTATTTTTGTGGTTGGTTGCACACTGGGAGAGGGAGGAGGGAGGGGGGGGGGGGGGGGGAGGGGGGGTGTTTGAGGTGGTATGGAGCCATTCCCTCCAAAATTGTATCAAAGAGCTAAAAACGGTTGAACTCATTCCCTCCAAAGCTACATCCTATGTTACTTGCACCTAACTAAAACGGCAATATACGATATACTCCGTAATATATTGCTCCTGTTCAGTGAGCCTGACTTAAAAGCCGCTTGCATTTGCAGATACCAAAACACATATAAAGATACCAACCATGACAAGCCAATACGAGTTATTAATACCATATGGGTTTAATAGATGATTTCCATAGTAAAAAGTATAGCCATAGAATCCACTTACTTCAGAACACGAAAGACTTGATGCTGAGAAGAAATACTCCCGTGCCGCTTGAATGACAAGATTCTCTGCTTTATCAGTTGCCAAAGATACTGAACCAGCACCCCGCAAATAGCTCCTAGCAAGTGAAAATTTTCCTGCTTTCAGCAATCCCCTGCAGAACTCTACCAAGACATATTCCAGGTCTATGAAGGGAAATGCCTTCTCTTGAAGATATTGTAAATCACGCCACATATTTGCCCAATCATTATCTATTTGAACTGGTTGGCGACGAATAAATTTGGATAGTATAAGACGAAGGATCTGCTTTATTCCCTTTCCATCTGAATCTGCTCCAAGGAAAAAGCTTATAGGCTTTGGAACCTGGTAATATGCGAAAAGCCTTCCTGCTTCAACATGACCTTCTGCAAGTCTAAGTCGTTCCTTGAGACGTGCATCATCAAACTCTGTTAAACCATGCATATATTAATCATACAAACCAGCAGATTTCATATGAATTATTTGGCTGACACTATACATTTCACATATTAATTAGAAGAAAAATGTCAAGAAACACATGAACATTGCAGGGAGATTTAGCAAGACAATGAACTTTGAGTTTGCTCCAAACCAACATACAATTTCATCATTAGCCAAACCAAAAACTGATACTCATCCCACCCAGAACAGGAAGGGAAATATACAAAATGGCAAATCTTCTTGCAACTAATGCTTTCTGTGAAAATGAGCATTTCGTATACTGTCACTCAATATTTTCCGTTGATACCCAATAAAGTGTTAAAGAAATACATGTTATAAAAATATGAAACACAAATGGAAGATTCAAACTCTTGTAATCATACTAGCATTCACATGGATGGAAGTTTACCTCCTGTATTTGGAAGTTTAGACAAGATGGAAGCCATAGTACTCCATCTATCTGTAACAGAGCACAGGTATATGCACTGCAAAGCACAATCTACCAGTTCAGCATCATCTATGAAATAACAATTATTATGAATCTCCTTACATCCCTCTTCAATCACAATTAAGCACATCTCTAATTTATTTTGCGAAGCAATATCTTTCAGCCATCTAACCAGAAAAGACTCAGATGAGTTAACTAAAGTGGAGGGTTGCTCCTCATCTCTGGAAACCACAGTCATAGAGTGCAACCTCTTCTTCATGAATGGGATTGCTTTATTATGTAATCTTCGAATAACATTTTCCTCGTTAACCCCAACTAGCATCAACTTGAACCTTTCATAATCAGATAAGTTTTCCCATGTTGCAAGGCTCATTGACAAATTCATCGCGTCTTCATCTTCATTACTATAAATAAGTTCATTTAAGTATGAGATGTCCTCTAAAAATGGTTTCAGCTGATGAATGCCTTTCCGACAAGCAAAGTCAATTAAGGAGATGCAATTATCTAGCTGCCCACTAAAGTTATCAATATCTCTGGCTCTATTTTTATACCATGAAGATAGTTCAGTAATTGAAGGCCATTGATACCCCATAGATTGCTTGATAATTGGTTCAGTTCTGATTTGAATATTGCTCTCATGATTCTCAGGGAGTTTGTTGATAAAAGCAACCATCTCAAAACATTCAACCCAATCTTTTTCCCTTAGAGTAATATTTGGAGGAGGAGAACTCCCAGGAAGTAGCTGTCCATATGTTTGAACTGGAATAGTTTCAGGGATAGCAGATAAGACATCCAACATACAAGAAGTCAAAGAATAAGGATGGCGTTTGAAGAGAAGGTTTAGTGCCCCAATCTTTCCACTTTCTCCAAGTCCAATGGCAGCTTCCTTGATGGACAGATTACAAAATTTCGTGTACTCCTGCACAGAAAACCTGCAGAAGGCTATGTCATTAAGTTCCAAGTCAGTTGGAACAACTTTAGTAAACAGTAATCACTAATGTAATGAAAACACACACTACGAAAAAGAATGATGAAAACCAGATCAGGAGGAAGCAAATGAGAAACAAGGGCATGAAACACTGAAAGAGAATAAAATTTCAACTTCATTTCCTGTGCTCCATCGATTGTATATAAAAGTATGGCATGTATTGCTTTATTTTGCTCGAGGAAAGCTAAGACACCCCCACCCCCCCCCCCCCCCCCACAACCCAACCCCAAAAAAAAAAAAAAAAAAAAAAACATAAAAAAGGGGTGATTTTATCCAACAAATAAGTAAATCTGAATCCATTTCCATTTTCTATTTTGGTTACAGAAAACCAACTCGTTGGAACGCATATCCATTCCCATTTTATATTTAATATGGTTTACAACTTTACATGCATACATAGTCTGAGTACAGAATAAATAGTACAAAAAACTTACTTCCAAGATGTTAGTAAGAAAGGAAGAAAATAAATAAATAAGAAAAAAATAAAAAGTGTTGATGAAAATGATCACCTGCCAGTGTTTATGCCAAGAAATGTCTCTAGCCTGTCCTTGAGATGCAACAATCTGAGCCTTGTCAGACGGAAATCCCAAATCTCATCCTGCTCAATACCCTCAGACTGGGAAAACCGGTACGAGTCTGTTAGGCGGAACCCATGATCAAGTAGAGCCCTTACTGCATCTTCCGTTGGTCCAAATTGATCAACACATTCAGAGAGTACAAAAACTTTATCCTTGATATTTGCAAGCAATGTCCTTATCTCATTTATTCCATGGGAAGAATGCAGCCACTGTGACTTCAGTGCCTCATCTTTATCCAGCCCATGGCGTTCTGCAAATTGGAGAGCAGCCTGGTACTCTTGTTGAGCAATTAGTATGTCATACATTTCTAGAATAGATCGTTCAGAAAAGGAAACCAAGGTCCAACCCAGTTTGGTCCAATCAAATTGGTTATTCATATCAACAGCATCCCGTTCAATGAGATGCACACTTGTAGCACTTTCTTCAGACAAGTCATAGCTCCCCGCAGATGACTTACTCTCTAATAGAAAAAGATTTCCAGCGAGATGCTGTGATCTTTCCAAAAGGGGTAGCAAATATTTAGTATCAGTCTCTAATAACTTAACACCAGCATACATGTCAAACATGGTGATAATACCATTCCGTGCCGCTATGGTAAGAATATCATCAGACCACCAGGCAAAATCCACTATCTTATTCAAGTGTTTCTTTAGCTCACTGTTTATTATATCTGAGTCATGTCCCTCTCCAGGAGTAAATGAGAGAGAATGGTGTTCATTATCAAATTTAAAAGCAACCAAAGATCCTTCCACATCCAGAATAGCAACAGATTTTCCTTGCACCGAAATTCGCACCTTTGGCAGTGCTAATTCATCTACATTTCCTTTTGCTATGAAATTTGAGCCCTCAAATTGAGCAGAAGCCACCAGTTTTAGGTCTAAGTTCCTGTTTTTCTGCCAGAGAGAAACACTGTACAATCCTGTAAAGGAAGAAGTTCCACTGAAGATGATGAGACCATTTTCTTTTAAAACTGGACCAATGTTTTGTTCAAATGATTGATGAAGAAGGGGAAAGAGGATTAATACTACTACCATTAGATGCTGATTGTGTACTACCAGCATAGTTTACTACAGCTAACAAAGACAGTTTTGGATGGTAATCCAGGCAGACAACATGCTGAGGGAACTGCTGCTTCTTCATTGAGTCACTGGTTGAGGCAACTCCAGAGAAAACTGAAGCACTAGGATCTTGACTGATCTCAACATCATGAACTGAACCATCTGAAGTGAACACACTAAATGTACACCTATAAAACAATTTATACAACTAAATACATAAATGAGCTATTAATGAAAGTTAAAATAGCAAGTGATTTTAACAAGTGATAATAAAATAAGTATTCTAGAGAATATATATATATATATATATATATATATATATATATATATATATATATATTATGGAATAAATAAGAATTAAACTTACAAGCATGATGCCTTCACATTAATATCATCTTGCACAATTAAGCCTATTATTGGCGATGAAACTTTTAAGTATCTCTTTGGTATTCTGGTTATTTCTTCACCGTTAGCTCTAATTAGATAAAGCATGTCAGCATCATCAACAACACCAATAACATCATGAGTCTCTGCCCAAACCCCAAACATAAACGTAGCATTGTTTTCACCTATTTCAATGTACAAAATCCTGAGGCAGTAAGTGATCAGTGGCTTGTAAAGGAAATTTACAAGTTAGTTGCAATTTACATTAAAAATTATGTAATCTGATCGCTACTAGCTGAAATGTAAAAAGTATGAATACTAAAGTCAACACGACATCTTTTACTTCCCTCCTCAACCACTTCCACCAGGAGCTTATCTTGTTCCAAGACCTTGAAACCCACCCCCTGCCCCCTTCCCAACCACAACCAATAAAACAAAAACAAGAAAAAGTTTAACTGGGCAACCTGGTTTTGGAAATCTGATCGAAGTAACCAGATTTTGCTAAAAAATGAAAATAAAAATAAAAAACCTAGTAACATATCATGTATGGCTCTTTTAAGTAGAATGCAATATAATTATAGCACTAATCTTATTTTAGACCTTTACATTGATACAGTACAGGTTATGATCCTTACAGGTAAAAATCCCACAAGGTTCCTGGTAGTCATCCTCCTTCCTCAATATTGTTATCTGATTCCTAGAAGCTACAGCGACAAGATCACCCCCAGGGGAAACAAACAGGGATGCACTTTTCCTTAATCTTCTTGGATGCTTGTAGTTGCTCCATTTCTCCTTAAGTTGGGCAATACCTTCAAGTACATTGAGAAAATTGCATAACAGTTTAGCAAAAGAAGAAGCAATCCATCGCATTCTCTTTAATAAGGAATCTATAAAAGCATGTCACGCTCTTATATATGCAACATAAATAACCTATCACATGAATTCACTTAAGCTGCTGAAACGTCCAGAGAATGAAGATCATACTGTCATAAACCTAATAATGTGATTTGCTTCACACATTTGGAGATTATTGAATTTTATTCCAATGCACAAGAGCTCACTTCAAAACCACCAAGTATCATCAAACACAATACGAATCAAATTCAGCAAAAAAAGCTGCCGTTACCTCGCGAAGGGAGCAATCTCGAGAGGAAACTTCCTCTAGAACCTCCGTTCAGCTAAATTAGCAAAAAACAAAGTAAACTCAATCAAAAGACGATGAATAAAATCCAGGATTAAGAGCCAATTCGTGAAGGTGAGGGATGGAAGGCGGACCTGTTGCTGCTGATGTGTGATTGTAGGAGGATAATTGGAAGTGTAAGGCCTGGAAGCGTGACGACGAGTCTCGAAGAGGACTTCTCTCTTTTCTGTTCCCTCCATTTTTGAGTTTTATATACATGCAGCAACCACCATAAACTTAAACCTCTGTTAAATTGTGTTGTCTTCTTCGAGATCTCAGGCCATGGGGTGTGGAAGAAGACGCACGCAAATTTTTGTCGAACATCTACTGTTTAGGCGGAGAGATGAAGAAGATCACTCGGTTCGAGATGCGTAAGATGAACCGGTCTGGATCGAGACTCGACAGAGTGATCCCCCGAGTTAATATCTTTCGGGCTAAATGCTAATGAATACTCCGTATAAAAAAAAGAGTGCCTATTACTACCTTTCTTCCTTTTTTTTTTTCAAACAAAAACAAAATTCATTCATTAATATCATAACAAAGCGAGTTACAAATGAAACCATTCCATACGACCTGCAATAGAGATGGAGTCCCTAGCAAGCAAGTGAGCAACTTCATTCGGAGAACGTTTAGTAAATTTTTTAATATCTAAGATGACAAGGTCAAAGGAAAGGAAGATGTTTGATTCTCGACATCAAGAATTTGGACCGACATCGGATTTAATAATAATGTTGGTAAAGTTATACTATTTTAGCCAAGTTAGTGCCTCGCGGATTGTCAATGCCTCGACTTCTTTGGGGGAGCAGTAGCCAGTTTTGCCCCAGTCATGGCAAGCAACAATTATATTGTGGACCATGGTCCAAAACAGTAGACACTATAGTGTATCTAAACTGCACTGTCTCAAGTATTATTTTTATTATATTATCAAATGAACCTGCAATTGAATTGAAATGAAACTGTAGTTGTGTTGAAATGAAATTGAATAACAATTTCATATATTTGAGTATATATTGTCTAGCGAAATTGTAATTATATCAAAATGATACTGTAATTATGTTGAAATGAAACTATAGTGCATATTTGATGTTTGGACACAATGCATTGTGGACCACAGTATAATTTGCCCATTGCGAGTGACCCAGACTTTTTTTTTTTTTGGAAAGGCCCAAAATTTTCAATGTCCATCTATTATTATTTTGTATTTTATATTGAATGAATATTTTATTTTTGAGACGCAACATAAATGTTTGATATTGAATCTAAACATGTATAGTTGCATACGTATTAAATTAAATAATGTAATTTTTAAAAATACCTCACCTCCTTGTATTTAGAATTTCTTTGATCTTTATTAATGCATTGGGAAAAGTGTCAAATTGTTCCCATAAGTCAAGTGGATAGTGCAATTGGGTCCCTTAAGGGTGTGTTTGGAAACCTGGAAAATGAGTTCTGGAAATCATTTTCCAAGTTTTCAGTGTTTGGATGTGCCTGAAAAATCAAGTCAACGGAAATCATTTTCCGTTGACTTTGGAAAATAGGCTTGTTTTGGAGGAAAATGACTTTCCCTTTTTTTGGGGGGAAGTCATTTTCCAACTTTTACACCAACATCACACCACCACCAACATCATCAACACCATACCACCATCACCACCACTATACCCCCGCCACCATCACACCACCACCAACACCGCAACTACTACCACCACCACCATACCACCGCTACCATCGCTGCCGCCACCACCACCACCACCACCACCACCACCACCATACCACTGTAATCACCGTCGCCGCCACCACTATCACCATACAACCGCCGCCGCCATCACCACCATACCACCGCAACCACCGCCACCATACCACCGCAACCACTGTTGCCGCCACCACCACCACCACCATACCACTACAACCACCGTTGCCGCTACCACCGCTACCACTGCCACCACCACCATACCACCACAACCACCATCGCCGCCACCACTACCACCATACCATCGCCACCGCCATCACCACCATACCACCGCCACCACACCACCACCTTCACACCACCGCAACCACACGACCACTGCCACCACCGTCATACTACCACCACCATCACACCAACACCACTACCGCCGTCGCCGCCACCACCACGACCATACCACCGCAACCACCACCGTCGCCACCACCACCATACCACCGCCACCACACCACCACCGTTATACCACCACCAATTATTATTATTATTATTATTATTATTATTGTTATTGTTATTATTTTTTTATTATTATTATTATTATTATTATTATTATATAACGAATAAAACCACTACCACTACACCACCACCACCACCATAATATTTTTGATATATTATTAGTTTTTTTTTTTTTTGAAAAACTTAGCTATTTTTTATTATATTTAAAATTAATATTATATTATTATATATTATTATACATGTTGTAATATTCTAAATAAAATAATTAAAATGTTTAATTATACAATTCTACTCATTTTCCAGAAAATGAACCAAACACAGAAAAACAGTTTTCCATAATGCAACCAAACACGGGAAAGGAAAATGTTTTCCGGAAAATGACTCATTTTCCAGAAAACATTTTCCAGAAGTCATTTTCCTGCTTTCCAAACGGACCCTAAGTGAAAAAAAAAAAAAAACTCCATTGAAGTCCCCTAAACCTGTAAAATTGTTCAATAAAATCCAATATAACCTGTTTAACAGATTAAATCGATATAGTGTTGACACGTGTCTTTCTTATTTTATTTTGTAAAATAAATACTTTTTATTTATTAAAAATATTATTTTTAATTAATTAATTAATTAATTAAAATAATAATAATACTTTAAAAATTCAAAAAAAAAAAAAAAAAACAACCACCGACTGTCCGCGCTGGACAATCGGTGGATGTCTTCTTTCTTCACGGACAGCCACGACCGTCTAAGGAAGACGGCCAGACGTCTAGGGATGGCAACGGGGCGGGGCGGGGGCGGGGAGTATACTCCCCGTCCCCGTCCCCGCTATCTCATCCCCATCCCCGTCCCCGCTATCTCATCCCCATCCCCGTCCCCGTCCCCATCCCCGGCGGGGAATTGGAAATATTCTCCATCCCCGTCCCCACGGGGAATTAGGCGGGGACGGGGATTCCCCACTCTCCATCAACTTCTAGACAAAATGTTAAATAATTTTAAATTTTAATAATAAAATTTTTAAAATATAAATCATAATTTCAAAAATTAAAATAATATATATATATATATATAGCATACTGCATGTGTATGTAGTACAGTGAAATAATACTACCACTTATATATATAAGTGGCAGTATATGTACACTTATATATACGTAATTAACTATAACAGTACACTTATATATATGTAATTAACTACAACAGTACACTTATACTAACAACTAGTATTTTTTATGCGCGATGCGCACAAAATAAGTGCCCAATATTAATACAATATATTAAAATTTTAAATTTATTTAGATTTTAGATATTTAAATTATTCTAAATAATAATAATAATTTAAATCATTTTTATAAATCTGATATTTATATTTTATGTGATAATTAACATATAACTCAAATATATAATGTGTATATATTATTATTAATGAAGAAGATAAGAAAATATATGGTGGATGCATGTGCATGGTAACAATAGTGGAAAAGATAACAGAAGTTATAATGGCAGGGGTATGTTTGTCCAAAATATTTTAATGTATAACCTTTATAGCATAATGTACAAAAAAAACATAACGGAAAAAACAGACATAAATCAGAGGTATAACTTTCATTCACACTTATTATGTTTTGAGATTTGAGATATTTATATATGTAATATATATATATATATATATATATATATATATATATATATATATATATATATATATATATATATATAAAATTATTCGGGGACGGGGCGGGGCGGGGAGGGGTATCCCCATCCCCGTCCCCGTCCCCAACGGGGAATCACAAATGTTCCCCGTCCCCCGAAAATCTTTCTCATCCCCATCTCTTTCTTTCGGGGCGGGGATCCCGGGGACGGGGCACATTGCCATCCCTACAGACGTCCATGGCGCCTTCCTTAGACGACTGTGAAGAAGGAAGATAGCCACTAGCTGTCTAGTGCAGACAGTTGGTGGTTGTTTTTTTTAAAAAATTTTTAATTATTATTATTATTTTAATTAATTAATTTATAATAAATAATATTTTTTTATTTTTAATAAATAAAAACATTTGTTTTAAAAAATAAAATAAGAAGGACACGTGTCAACACCATATCAATTTAACATGATAAACAAGTCATATTGGACTTAATTGAACAATTTTACCAATTTAGTGGACTTGAATGGAGCTTTTTTCACTTAGGGGACCCAAATGCACTATCCACTTGACTTAAGGGGTCAATTTGACACTTTTCCCTTAATGCATTCGTCCTTATTACTTCAAAAAAAAAAAAAAAAAAAAAAAAAAAAAAAAAAAAAAAAAAAAGGGTAGTCATAGCATAAATTAGATCAAGAGATGTAGAACTATACTATGATTTAAGTATGCAGAGATTAGTATCTCGATCAAAAACATATACTACCTGGTAAAAAAGTCAAAAAAAAAAAGAAGAAAGTAAAACTATTCAATGATATATTCATAATAAATGTTGGCATGGAAATATCACTTCACCAAAGTTTGACATATTGGTGCCACATCACTAATGGACCTGTCTAAAGAGTTGATAACAGCCAAATTATCAATTCCAGACACTAATAAAATTAAATTGACCAAAATTTAAATAGAACAAGATCCTATAAGTACAATACAAGAACTTCAAGGTAATTTGACACGTAACCCTATAATTTTGATGTACAAATTCACACTGCAAGGCATAAGAGAAATGCCCAAGTATTAGAAGCAAAAGAGTTTTTCATAGGGTCAGTGTAAATTTGTAATATCAATCTCTCCACTACCAACAGCTCTTGACAAAATTTGCAGGGTAGTACACAGATAATAGCTGCTGGATTGCTATGCTTCCTCCCCTGTGCAACATATAAGAGAGAGAAAGAACCCAAAACACACAATGAACTGGTAATATGCAAATAAAATAGCATGGCAAGAACATTGGACTGGTACACAGGGAATGCTGTAAAGTTGAAGAAATGAATGGAGAGAATAAAACATAAACAATGGCCATATGGTAATGTCAATTATT